CTGAGGTCCTCCAGCTTTGGCCATGGGTCATTCACTATTCCTTTTGCCTCTTGCTGTTGGCAAGGGTAATTTGGGGTCCCCAGAACCCTGGCTTCACTATGACAGCAGCAGACTCAAGTATCATCTTTGAAATTCACTGCTAGCCTGTAAGTCCACCATCTTAGTCATTGGGCGGAGCTTGGGAAGACCCTGACTATGATGCTTTTGTAGCTTGTAGAGCAGTAATGATCTAGGTCTATGCTCTCTTTCTGCAGAGTAACAGATCTGGAATGTCCAGAGTTTATTAATGTATGTAATGCAGGGCCTCATAGCCACAATGGCTCAACTTAAACTTGGGCTTTTTTGTATTTATAGTGATCTCCTAAATTTATAGTATGTTCTCCTATTTCCATCCTCATGACAGGTAGTGACAAAGGTCTGAGAATTCAGAGATATGTAGTACTGTGCCTCAGCAGAGAAAGGCTTCCGAAACAACTGGTGAACTCCTGTGTATTATACAGATCAGTGCAAAATAATTTCTGAACATACTTAATTATTTAGGTGGCACCCTTGCTCACAGACTAGGTTTGTGAGAACAGCCATAGAGTTTTGAAGTCTGAGAAAAATGAAGTAAAATGTGTTATCAAGGACGGGGTAAAAATTTGTGAATGACAAATTCCAGAAAGGGCTACTTCTTAAATTCTCATCGAAAAATGCCAAAATTTACACATTTACATGGTCATATACATGTGATGCCCTTCTGAATGGAAAGGAATAGGGGTGTCACCTCTGAATTAAGAGCTGATTTAGTAGCTTGGTTAATAGACAGTTTAAATATGGAAATTCTCTACAGTGGACTTATCTAAGTGGTGCAAATGAGAAGCACTAAATAGAAATTTTGCAGTGATATCGATAGTTAGGCATGAAGGGTTTTCTGCTTAGGATGGATCAGAGGAGTGTGGAAAAGATGTGGAAGTGGGTGACAGGATCCAGGCAGCAAATCGCAGGACATACAACAGAGAGCGTCTTCCCTGAAAGTCAGGTAGTTCTTAGAGTAAGTGTGAAGTTAAGTTGGGTTCTGATTGCTTCATTGAGGTGATCAACACCAGCTCTGGCAACAATCAGTATTCCACATCCCTGTCAACCCATAATTTTTGTGTTTCATACTTGAGATCTAATTTGATTATCTCTAATTATGCCCCATTGTCATGAAGCTGAAATTTTCAATTTTTTTGTACCAAGGATGAAACGCATGACCTATGCTTTCCAGGCAGGTGTTCATGACACTGAGCTAAATACGCAACTATGAAAATATTTTCTGTGTATTATGGACGATATCCACATTGTTTCTGAGAAAGTGTTGACTATTGTTGGAATTTTTCTGTATTGTGTGGCTATAATTTTTTTAAAACTAACCAAAGGTGTGTTATGCAATCTCTTTTTAAGTTTCACTTTGTCTGTTCGGTGTCTCAATCAGGGTTTTCTATTTTAGACAGCTCTGTAAGTTAGGAAAGCCCCAAATTCAAGGAAGAAATCCTTCACCAGCCTCCCAAGATATATTTCTTATATTTGAATTGAAAGTGATCACTTGGTGACAGTGATGTTTAATTTACAGCTTGGGCCTGGTTTCATTTTATATACATATTTTTAAAATACAGCTGTTTTCCACTAACACTTGAGTTATTATTTATATACCATATTTGATGTTATTTATGTTTTGTTCTATGAAACCAAATTCATGTTTCAAAATGCTGCTTAAGTATATTAAGAACAAAGTACTCATTGGCCTAAATGAGATTTGAACAGACATCATCTGTAGTCTATCAAAGTGATTACTGAGATATTTTATTTAATTTTGAAATTGGTAAAATAGAACAGAACAAGGCAGCTTAAGGTCAACTAAGATCACACAGTGAAATTGGTACACAACTTCACAACAGGTTACTGGGATAACAGTAATATGTATCACAGTATATTTTGTTATCTTTATCATAGTTGTTCTTTAATCACATATATCAAAATGAGATTAAATGCAGAACATTATAGAACTTATCAAAACAGAATATTGAATTGAGCAGTACCATTAATCAGAAAAGAGTGAAACAATAATAAAAACGTTTTCCTTCAAGGAGATAGTAGAAGGAAGTCCCCCTTATTTGCTATGGTCTACTTTCCAGCAGATGCTCAGATTTCTGGTTCCCATTTGCTAATGTGGGGTGACAGGAGAAGAGGGGTAGGGAAGTGGGATGTTTGATTCTAGGTGGTGCATCAGTAGGTTCAGTGTTGCTTACTAGGGAGACAGGCTGGTTGTTTGGTTTCACAGCGCCCTAAGTTCCAACATAGAACGGATCTTAGGAGCTGCTGCTGGTTATCCCCCTGGAAGGGCTGCAGTTTTCCAGACTGCCACCACTGACTAGGGAGGGGAGGTGCTTGCTTGGCTTCCAAGGCAATTGATGAGACATTTATCTGCCTCTGTGCTTTGTGGTTGCTGGTCCTGCAGGCTTCTCACTGTGAGCTCTGCTTTAGAGAAAGAGCACAGGGAATCTTGCCATGACTCAGCACAAGAATCAGTGCTCCTATTTGGCTGTTATATTAGCAGTGAGTTGCAATCTAGTATCAAATTTGCTGTCTTCAAAAATGTATATAGACACAAAATTAACGACCAAGACATGGATTAAAATTGGAAGAAATCAGTCTTCGTTCAGCTGTTTTGTTTGGTTGTATTTGTTTAGTTTAGTTTTGTTTTATTGAGACAAGCTTTCTGTATGTATATCAGCTGGATTTGAACACCCTATAGAGCCTAGAATTGGCCTGACCTCACTGATGCCTTCCTGTCTCGCCTTTTGAGTGCTGGGATTATAGATATGCACCACCACACTTTGCTTTTGATTCAGATTTGTAGGAGAGAATTTAAGATATCGCAAACCTGGGGTCTCAAGCTTCCTTTGAGAAATATATGTATGATCCTTTAGGAGGCGGTTATCTTTGAGGATGTGGTTGTGAACTTCAGCAATGAGGAGTGGAGTTTGCTGAGTCCATCCCAAAAGAACCTCTACAGAGATGTGATGGGTGAAATCTTTAGGAACATGGCTGCAATAGGTAAGGATGAAATTTTTTTTGGCACTCATGCTGTCAGAATATTGTTTGTTGCTCATTAGTGCTGTTTTGTTAAAAAGACTATGAAAATATTTTTAAAAATAGCTCAGACCTGGACACATTATATCATAAATCTAAACAAAATCTATTAATTTGTATGTATTACTCTAAAGAGTCCTGGTATTTCTATGTCTACAATTCAGGAGGACTTGGGGACATCAAGGAAGCTGAAAAAGAAGGCAAAATTTACTGGAGATACTTAAGGTAATTCACACTCACAAGGAGAGGAATGTTCTTGAGTAATTAGTGAGTCAGCAGAAAAATGACCACCAAAGAAATGAGGCACCATTCAATTTAATGTCAGTAATATTCTCCAAAGATGTATAAGCTAGTGTATATATGAGGGAATTAAATCATGAAAATGTATGACATTGCATATAGATCTGTACGAAAGGCATGCACTTTGAGTTATGACATTCTGCCTTCAGTTGTTCTACCCATATATACATGTGAATACAACACATTCATTATCTAACAATTGCTAAGATTGCAATAGAATGTGAAATAAAACTGAGTGCTCATGTTTCCAAGCCATGGTCTAGACAATCGGCGATTCTGACTAATATTCTTAGTAGGCTGGTGGAATGTTAATGCATTCATTTTGAATATCAGTATGCAGTTGTCTCTAGAAATTGATCCCCTCATACTTGTCCTGGATATTTTTAAAATCTCAAAATCTGCATAAAATACTGATACATGCTTAGTCATATACAAAGCAGATCAAGTTATGACAGATCAGGCCTTGAAGCTTATCTATCTATCACTGGATTTGTGGAGAAGGAAAATTTTAATAGACTCTCTGTGATTTTACATTCTTGTAAACCTAGCACACTAGGGTTTGCAAATCTGTTTGCAGAATGGCAATTTCAAGTTCAAACTTCACAGCTTAATGATATGAAAATCTGTTAAAATAGATTTTTAAAAAACTATAGATTTATGCTAATATCTGTTGCTCATTCCCAGCCCAGAATGGAAAAAATGTGTTATATAATGTCAAAAAATAAATAATATAATGTCATTTGCCATAAGAATTAGATGGGTCTTTCTCCCATCAATTCAGAGAAATAACTCAGCTATAAAACCTAAAAGGTCACTGGCTTTCTTTTAGAGGAGAAACCAAAATACAAAATGTGGAAAGAAATGAAACAGAGTTGTTAGAGAAAAGTAAGACTGACCAGATGGAAAAGGGAACTACAAGTTAAGGACAGAAGTAAGATTGTGATGGGGAAACGTATGAGAATAATCTGCATGTGATACATATATGTACCCATTCCCAAAGTGAAGCTAAAGATTATGCATTTCAAAGTACCAACTTTTAAGATTTCCAAATGTGTACCAGTCTTTTGGGAATGGTTGTTTTCAACATATCTTACAAGGCCATTCTGTTGCTTCTTGGTCAGAATTTCTTAGCACGCATTAAAAACAGAACTTGATATTAATGCAGTCATTAAACGGAGACCAATTTCACAGTGAATTTTTCTTTTTTTAAATTTAATATAAGGAAAGATTAAATAAGACAAAATAAGTAGAAATAATACTGCATTCACAGTGAAAGAAAAACAGTAACAAATAGCAAGATGATGATTACGAATGCTGATCATAGAAATAGTCATGAAATACAAAAGTGAAACATATCAAGTGGGGATTCAAACAATGAGACTGCAAACAGTTTTGTTCAACTCTCGAAAAAAGCTTTGTAATATGGTTATAAATCCTATGTGTGATTTTTTCTTTCCAGAAATGACAAGCTAGGGAAATCTTATGGACATACAACTTGGAAGCAGTGTAAAGAAGTATTTCTTTGTAATGCAGAAGGTAATGTGAATGTGAAAGAAACAGAAACACACCACGATGTTCAGATCCATGAAAAATATTGCAGTGGAGAGAAACCCTATGTATGTAAGCAATGTGGGAAAGCTTTTAACACACAGGCAGGTTGTAAAGATCATGAAAGGATTCACACTGGAGAGAAACCCTATGTATGTAAGCAATGTGGGAAAGCTTTTACCAGACCTGGACGTTGTAAGGCACATGAAAGAATTCACACTGGAGAGAAACCATATGTATGTAAGCAATGTGGGAAAGCTTTTACCAGACCTGAATGTTGTAAGCAACATGAAAGAATTCACACTGGAGATAAACCATATGTATGTAAGCAATGTGGGAAAGCTTTTAACATACGTGCAAGTTATAAGGTTCATGAAAGAATTCACACTGGAGAGAAACCATATGTATGTAAGGAATGTGGGAAAGCTTTTAACACATGGGGATACTGTAAGCAACATGAAAGAATTCACACTGGAGAGAAACCCTACGTATGTAAGCAATGTGGGAAAGCTTTTAACACACGTGCAAATTGTAAGGTTCATGAAAAAATTCACACTGGAGAGAAACCATATGCATGTAAGCAATGTGGGAAAGCTTTTAAAACACAGGGAGATTGTAAGAATCATGAAAGAATTCACACTGGAGAGAAACCCTATGTATGTAAGGAATGTGGTAAAGGTTTTACCAGACCTGGATTTTGTAAGGAACATGAAAGAATTCACACTGGAAAGAAACCCTATGTATGTAAGTAATGTGGGAAAGCTTTTACCACACAGGGAGATTGTAAGAAACATGAAAGAATTCACACTGGAGAGAAACCATATGTATGTAAGCAATGTGGGAAAGCTTTTAACACACGTGCAAATTGTAAGGTTCATGAAAGAATTCACACTGGAGAGAAACCCTATGTATGTAAGCAATGTGGGAAAGCTTTTACCAGACCTGATCATTGTAAGGAACATTAAAGAATTCACACTGGAGAGAAAACCTATGTATGTAAGCAATGTGGGAAAGCTTTTACCAGACCTGATTGTTGTAAGGAACATGAAAGAATTCACACTGGAGAGAAACTATATGCATGTAAGCAATGTGGGAAAGCTTTGAACACACGTGCACATTGTAAGGTTCATGAAAGAATTCACACTGGAGAGAAACCCTATGTATGTAAGCAATGTGGGAAAGCTTTTACCAGACCTGGACGTTGTAAGGAACATGAAAGAATTCATACTGGAGAGAAACCATATGTATGTAAGCAATATGGGAAAGCTTTTAACACACGTGCAAATTGTAAGGTTCATGAAAGAATTCACACTGGAGAGAAACCATATGTGTGTAATCAATGTGGAAAAGCTTTTAAAACACAGGGAGATTGTAAGAAACATGAAAGTTCACATTCAATATAAAACCAGTGTATATAGGCATCATGAGAATGGTTTCAGCACAGGTATATATTGCATAATGCATGAAAATCTTCACAGTGGGCAGAAAACTTACATATGTTAGGAATGTGGGAAAGGTTTCTGCAGAAATGCTCATTGTCCAATACATTATAAAATTTGCATGGTTGAGAAACCCTGTGTGTATGTGAAGAATGTGGGAAAGCTTTCACCACACATGGATTTTGTAAAATACATCTATGACTTCAAACTGGTGAGAAAGCCTATGTGTATAACAATGTGGCAAAGCTTTTACTGCATATAGTCATTGCAAAACACATGAAAAAATTCACACTGGGAAGAACCACTGGCTATGTAAGCAAGTGGAGACACTTTCAGCAGCCAGATTGTAAGGGAAATACATGAAAAAAAACTCACACAAGAGATAAACCCTTTGTGTTATGGGAATACTCTCAGCATACTTGATCATTGTTACATATCTGAAAGAGCTCACTAGGCAGAGATGATATGTAGATTACCAATGTGAGAAATATAGCAATTCATGTTTCTTGTTAAATACATAGAAAAAGCATCACTGTTCAGACAGTTTAGATCTAAGTTTACTTTAAAAATCCCAAGGAGACCTGAAGAAATAATCAATACAGAAGTTAGATGTCAATATTTCTTCACAAATATTCCAGAAATGACAAATCTGTGGTGGGGCTCTCCTTAGGTGCACATGTTGTATGGTTTTCAGTTAATCACTTGTACCTCTCTAGATTTATTAATCTAGATGTTTTTGTGCTTCAACATGGCATCTTGTATTTAAACATGCTAAACTGAAATGGGCTTTTCACTTTCAAGTATGGATAGTGCCTACATACTTAATATTTTGTCTTTAGAAGTTAAATTTTGTATTTTCTGAATTGTAATGTTGTTTATTTAAAGAGAAAAAAAGTGTAGAAATAATACAGAATTTCAGAAAAATAAACCATAAGAAATCACTAGATGATTAGTATTATATTGTCATCTTAGAAGTAGTTGTTCAAGTTACAAATTTAAAGCATACAAAGTGATATTCAAATAATGACACTGTCACGGTTCACCTCAATGATCCACCAAAAAGTTATTAATATGCCTATCTGTCCTACACACTTTTTTTTCTTAAAGAGGGTAAGATTAAACATAGCAAAACAGAGCAAAACAGTTCATAAGGAAACAAGTTAAGGAAACGCAGATTTCAAAGCAAGTCCACTGGAAATGTTCACTGTCTATTTTACTGTCTCTAGTTTTTTTCCAAATAGTTGTTCCCATCCTCACACACATTGAATATATACTGAATATTATAGAACTAATCAAATAATTACAGGATGATGCAAGCTTTTTTGATCTTCAAGACTGATTTGGGGGAAGTCGATAATGACTACCATAATGTCTCATGGTCTTTGTAGTAGCTGTCTTTATCTTTATGTATGCTGAAATGGAACATAAGAGACTAGACTAATATCACTCTGAACAGTGAATAATAGTATCCTGAGAAGGAGAAAGGTGAGGAATTGCCTAAAAAAAGAAGACAGAGGACATAGTTAAAAGTGTATCAGGATTTAAAAGCTACAGTAGTCTTGTTGCTCTGTATAGTTTGGTTATATTTTGTTCTGGTCTGTCTACTCATATTAGATTTGAGGGCACAGAGAGATAACCCAAAAATAGCAGGTTATACCATGGTAATTATCCTTAATTTCCTATTAACTAAAACTGAATCCCTATATTACTTACATTGCCTTCTATGACTGATCTTCTTTGAAGCTGGATTGTTTCAATGTTATTTGGCCTTGACTGATTTTATTCACATTTGATATGCTTGCTGGTATCAAGTTCAAGAGCAGAGGCAACTACTCTGAAGATGACAAAGTGTAAAAGATATCCATTGGTGGGCTGGGGATTTAGCTCAGTGGCTTAAGGCACCTGCCTGTCAAGTGTGAGGTCATGAGTTTGATCTCCAGAGCCAAAAAAATAAATAAATAAAAGATATCCATTCCAGGTTTGATTATTTGTTTAATTAAAGAGAAGAAAGGAAATAAAAAACAAAGCAGTAAAAGGGTACAAATAATACAGAATTTCAAGAAAAAATACAGTAAGAAATTACTAGTTAATAGGTTACATATTGTCATTGCTAGGGTTATTTCCAAAAGATGAAAAATATCAACAAAAGATGAGAAATATAAAATAAAAAGTGGCCTTTATTCTGAGAACACGGAGAGAGATGACAGGCACCCCCACCGCTGGCGTCCAGTGATCTCTCTGTCGGACACGTGGCATGGGGGCCTGTAAATAGGCTTGGTTTGGGGTGGAACCTAAGGCGGGCATTAGGGATACACAGGTAGTCCATTGGTCTTAGGTTTGGCGCCCTATGTAAATTTCCATGGGTGGGAAGATGGCATCACAGGTAACTTCCTAGGGGCAGGGGAGATGGGGCTTCCTGCTTCCGGTTGTGGCTTTCCTGGCTACAGTGTCCTATCTGGGCCAAAACCCTTTCAGTCATCTTAGAAACAGTTGTCCAAATTATAAAATTAAAGCATATAAAGTGGACATTCATACAGTGAAATTGCAGAAGGTTCTGTTCAGTGATCCAACAAAAGCTGAGTAATATGATTTTCCATCCTACACACTCAAGCATGCAGTTATATCCCTTAGACCACCTTCCTTTCCTCTCTTTTTTACAATAACAGTTACACGTTTTGAGTTTTTTTACTCCCACAGTTCTTATTACATTTTTTTGAAGAGAATAAATCCTAACATGACTAAATAAAACAGAGACAGTTAGAAAAGAAGGATGGGCATAGTACATGATGCAAAAATAGAATATCAGATGATCAAAAATGGTTACCATGGTGCCTCTTGCTATTTTTAAAAAGAGTTGCTATATCATCAGGTATAATAGAATTGATCAAAACCGTACAGAACAAGACCAAAAAAACCTACACTGGAAACCTTGCAAGACTTCAAAAGAAGATAATAGTCAAACTATAATGGGCCATCATAATAAATCTTATGGCCTTCAAAGTGGTTGTCTATACGCTCAAACTTGATATTATCAAACAAAATAGAATATAGTAAAATCATACAGAACAAGATGTGGAGAGCAATACTGGGGTTCAAATCAGGTTAATAGGAAAACTAATAGTTACTATAATATATCCCGCTATTTTTAAATTTAGTTTTCCCTTAATTGAAAAAAATAAAAAAGTTTAATTTAAAAAAAGGGTGGAGATTGAGATAAAAAAGGATATTGTAATAGAACAACACTGGTCAGAATGGAACAATTTAAGCATAATTGTGTTTCACTCCCAGATAATCTAACATAATAGTAGTCACCATAGTGCCTCATCCCTTGAATTATTTGAGTATAACTTCGTATACAATAGCATCAAACATATCAAGACAGTGTGAAACCATTCAACAGAATGAAAGAATTACAGGGTATTTAGAACCAGTTAACAGAAAACGAACAATGGTTTCTATATTATCTCCTTGCCTATAAAATTTTTCTTTATACTATCACATACAGTAAAATATAGTAAGATACAACATGTTAAAACCAGTGGAAACAAGTTTGTTAGAGAGGGACCATTCTTGCACCACTGAGATTGAGTCCAGTGTTGATCATGTTGGTTAATTTTGAATATGCTGGTGAGATAACATTGCAAACATTTAGCTGAACACTTTTGTTTATGTTTGGTAGGAATATTAGCCAACAGAGTGTTTTCATTTATATTATTTTTAACTCATTATTGTCTGGCTTCATTCTCAGGATAACTTTAACTTTGTCACTTAAAAGAAGTTGGTGGTGGGTTTTTCTTCAACTTCATCAAAGAACTGAAAAAAAATCAGTATTTATTCTTTATTATATACTGGATAAAATTCACCAGTGCACTTTTTGTATCCCAGCTTTGTTGTTGTTATTAAGAAGCTGTGATTTTTACCCATTGCCTGTGCTCCTTATTGCTCTGTTCATCAGACTGTTTCCTTCTGATGCATTTGGCTGGGGACATCAATGGACACCACATATCCATTAAGGGTCACATCTCATTTTACTTATGAATGCTTCCATTTATATTGTATCTTCAAACTATCTCTATAATATATAATTTTGTGAGTAACTCCTTTCAGTTACTCAGTTTTTAATGCACACTCTTGCAGGGTTTGGTTAATGCTGG